TGGAGAAGTAGAAGAGGAGAGAGAGAGAGAGAGAGAGAGAGAGAGAGAGAGAGACCTACATTGTATAACGAGTATAAACAGTCCCTTAGAGTCTGGTGTAAGTGTTCATCTGTCTCTCACAGTTCCCTCTCAGCTAACACTGTTAAGCAACCCTTGCATTTGGGGCACTATCAACACTGATGGGAGTAAGAGACATCTCTCCCCTGGATTCTGGGACTCCTTGGGAGGATGCTGGAAGCCCTAAGGTTGCCCTTTCTCACTGGGAGACTAATCTAGAGACTGAGGAGATTATGTGTTTGAGAGATTAGAGTTGTGTTAGGGGCATGTAAACTTACTTCATCTTCTTTCCTGTTTGCTACAGTACCTCAGCCAGATCCCAACCAGCCAAAGCCTGAGGGCCGACAGATGACACCAGTGAAGGGGGAGCCCCTTGGAGTCATCTGTAACTGGCCCCCTGCACTGGAATCTGCCTTGCAGCGCTGGGGCTCTACCCAAGCCAAGTGCCCCTGCCTGACCGGGCTGGACGTGTCCGGGAAACCAGTCTATACACTCACATACGGTGGGTCCCCACTCTGCTAAGAGTTTTTGAAGACTAGGAGTAGTGTTTCTCTTGGTATTTTTCAGTTACATGTGTTTCAGTTATTTAATTGTACTCTTATGTTCCAAGAACTGTTGCCGAACGTTTCATCTGTTAGAGTGACATTGGTAAGCAGCTGGGTTTTAAAGATAGCACAAAGAAGATTCATTTCTACTTTTATATTAGAAGAGGATTTGTTTTTGTTTTGTTTTGTGTTTTTGAGACAAAATCCATTTAGCCCAGGATGGCCTCAGACTTGTAGCCAAGGATGGCCTTGAACTCTTAATGCTCTCTTAACCTCCTGATTTCGGAGATTGCAGGCATGAACCATGGCACCTGGCTGGAGGAGGATTTTAGAAAACATTTTGTCAGTATTAATGGTTGTGGAGAAGAAAAACCACCACATTTAGATCTGCAGACTGCATCATCTTGCTTATAATAAGCACACAGTTCTATAAAGAATAAAATTAGGGCTGGAGAGATGGCCCTGAGGTTACGAGCGCTGACTGCTCAGAGGTCCTGAGTTCAATTCCCAGCAACCACATGGTGGCTCACGACCATCTGTTATGAGATCTGGTGCCCTCTTCTGGTGTGCAGATATACATGGAAGCAGAATGTTGTATACATAATAAATGAATAAAATCTTTTTTTAAAAAAGAATAAAATTAATATGTTTCCATTTTTATAGCTCCTCCAAGTGCTAAGGACCTTTCTCATTCATTTGACACCTATGAGTCCACCCATGTGGCCCCTAGAACCAGCTTCTCTTTTGATCTCAGTTTGTTTTATGTTTTCTGTAAATAATTTCACTTAGTAACACAGTCTGGACTCAGAACTAGAAGTCTTCCTGCCTCAGTCTCCTAAAGGTTAGAATTGTTGGCATGAACCCCCATACTCAGCTTTCTTTCTGTTTGTTTTCTTTTTATTTTTTTAACTATTTGAATTAATCCTTCCAATCTCAAGTAGCTCATGAGACACAGATGATCTGTTCTTCAAAAAAACCTAGGACAGAACCAACTGCTTTTTAGTCTTGGATGTAAAACAAACAAAAAATGTTGCTCTCTCTTTAAAGGGATACTTGAGGATACTGTTATTACATCATAAATTTTTTTTTTTAAATGAGCCATGTATCAGTGGCATTCAACCTTAATCCCGGTACTCAGGAGGCAGAGGCAGGCAGATCTCTGTGAGTTCAAGGCCAGCCTGATCTATAGAGTGAGTTCCAGGACAGCCAGGGCTACACAGAGAAACCCTGTCTCAAAAAAAAAAAAAAAAAAAGACAAGAACTTGAAATATTAAGTAAGGCAGGGTGATGTTTTATTTGTCCCAGGGCAAGAGTGGCCCTTCAGATTACCTGAAAGGCTGCTTTGGGGAATGCTTGCTGTGTTGGGGAGGTTGGCGCTAACTCATCACAACTGGCCTGTCTTAGTCAGCACACTGAACCTAGTGCTCTCTGGCTGGAGTAGGCCTATAATTTTTTTTTCTGTCTCATTGTTTTCTTTTTCTAGGAAAGTTGTGGAGCAGAAGTTTAAAGTTGGCTTACACACTGCTTAATAAACTGGGGACCAAAAATGAACCTGTGTTAAAACCCGGAGACAGGGTAATTTGTTTTGTTTTGTTCAGAAAGGTGACATTTGTTTCTAATACACACATCTTGGGCTTTTGTTGTACAGTGGTAAGATTTACATAACCCCCTTTTTAAAATGCTTATTTATTTGTGATAGGTGTACAGGTGTGTTGCCTGCACGTGTATCTGTACCATGTGCCTGGAGCCTGAGGATGTCAGAAGAGGGCATTAGATTCCCAAGAGCTAGATAGGGTTGGAAATGGTTGTGAGCTCCCACACGTGTACTGGAAAGGGAACCCTGGTCCTCCGTAAGACAAGCCAGTACATTCAACACAGCATTTTCCAGCCCCAGTGTAGCTCTTATTCCTAGAAAATAAAACCAGTTTAGTCTAGAGTCCCAACTGTCCAACGCAGCACTAGGTGTTGGTTTTGTAGTTCAGAGACTTTGGGCCTCTTTCTGGAACTGTTTATTGAAAAGCCGAGGTACTAAAAAGGGAAAATCAGTCTTTCTAAAAGTAAACACTTTGATGTTGACTCAAATCTTTGCCTTTATAAAACTGGCTCTTAAAATTGTTAAAGGCAAATTGAGACTGTGTCATTTAGTTCTTAATTGAAAGTGACATTATAGTTTTTGTTTTTTTGTTTTTTTTTCCGAGACAGGGTTTCTCTGTGGCTTTGGAGGCTGTCCTGGAACTAGCTCTTGTAGACCAGGTGTGTCTCAAAGTCATAGAGATCCGCCTGCCTCTGCCTCCTGAGTGCTGGGATTAAAGGTGTGCACCACCAACGCCCGGCTGACATTATAGTTTTTTAATTTTGATATTTTTGTTTCCCTGTTAGTAATGTACTGAATATGTTTACTTCCTGCCATTCAACATTACTGTTTATTTGTAATTTGTAGAATGAAATACCAGCTACTACACAGCAATTTTTATGAGTTAACTTATATCTGTTGGTTTGTGGGGGTTGGGGCCTTATGGAGGTCTTAATACAACCCTGTCCTTCCACTACCTAAGTCCTAGGGATTAAACTCAGGTCATCAGGCTTGGTGGCAAACACTTTTAGGGTATCTTATGGACCTTCAAGTAACTCTTTTAAATGCTTTTACAGTGTGCCAGAAATATTTAAAGTGTAGCTTTTACTATGTAAAGTGACACTGAGGATTTCCCATGGCTCACTGAACCCTAAGCAGGTGGTGTGCCTCCTCAAGTGTCAAGATGGCAGTTTGTAAGCAGTAAGGAAATGGTTCTGTGGAATTAGTCACTTTTAGACCTCTAGGACAGTTTAAAGGTTTAGAGTGGACTCAACCTTTGGAGTGAGTTTAAAGAATCTGATTGCAAGTGGAGAAGCAACAGGAATCAGTGATCAAGGGGCTGAAGGAATGGCTTACTGGGTGAAGGGCTTCCTGAAGGCACTCCCTGAGAGATGCACAGCTTTAATATATGTGCTCTCTTGAGATGCCTACCACATTAACCCTGTAAGGTAAATTGCCTTAGGCTTCCTGACTAGTTAACATATTAGGCAAGCTGTTTGCTATTGAATCACAGCTAAGATTAAGTGAAACATTTTACCATAATGATAATGAATTGCATTTTTATTTCTCAAAATGGGTAAGTTTTATAGTTTTGTCTTTGCTTTTTCGTGTTGCTGGGAGTTGCAATGGGACCTTATGGGAGGCAAATACTTTCTGAGATTCATCCCTGATCCCAAAATAGACAGTGTAACTGTGGGGATGACAGTGCTCCTACCAGATGTTTTTGTCTTTCTTAGTTACTTAATTTCCTTCTGAACAAATAACTACTAAATTGTTTTACTTATTGTGTTCATGGAAAATTGTGTTCATAGAGTTAATCAGTCCATACTCCACTTTTGTTAAATGTCTTTGGAAATTTTAGGTTGCCTTGGTTTACCCCAACAACGATCCAGTCATGTTTATGGTGGCTTTTTATGGATGTCTCCTGGCAGAAGTGATTCCAGTACCCATAGAAGTACCACTGACCAGAAAGGTAACATTGCTATATTAAATGCCCTTCGCTGTGATACAATAGGCATTGGACTGACTTAGAGACAATAGAAGCAATGTGATTGCTGGGCATGGTGGCCTATGTCTTTCATACCAGCACTTGAGATGCAGAAGAGGGTGGCTCTCTGTGACTCTGAGGCCAGTCTGGTCGACAGAGTGAGTTCTTGGACAGTCAGAGCTACACAGAGGGATACTGTCTCAAAAAGAAAAAGGAAGAAAAAAAGAAAAAAGAAGCAACATGGTTTATATTTTTGTATTTAAAAGATTTATTTATTGCTTTATTATGTCTACAGTGGTCTGACTGCATGTATGTCTGCTTACAGGCCAGAAGAGGGCACCAGATCTCATTACAGATGGCTGTGAGCTACCATGTGGTTGCTGGGAATTGAACCCAAGTCCTTTGGAAGAGCAGTTAGTGCTCTTAACTGCTAAGCCATCTCTCCAGCCCAGATCATATTTTTAAATACTCAGCTTTACTTTCCAAAAACATGAAAATTGTTAAAAATTAAGTAGATATGAGTGTCAAGCAGATAACATATCTATCACATTATCACTTTAGAGGCTTATATCTGAGTGTGCAAGGGTTACCATTCATAGAGTACCATCTCCTATACCTACTTTATCAAGGGATTTCCTTTAACTACCTAACATAGCCCAGAATGGTTGAGTGGAAGGTGGTGCAGTGGTGGAAGGGACTGCTCCAGAGTGGAGAATTGTGTTAGGACTTTGTCAGCCCTGATAGTAAAGATGACAGCACAGATTTCCATTTCAGGTTGAATGGTTTTTCCCTGAGCTCTTTACACTGGCCATTTCATGCTGTTTATTACTGAGAAATTGATGGTTGAGACCAATATGAATGTTGATTTAAAAGACAGCAGTTTTTTAAGTGATAAGACCCAAATTGGTGGCATTGCTAAGGTTTTAGTTGATGGATAGAGTCTGTCTTTTTATTACTTAGGAAGGAAATCATAAGTTTCCTCTTAAGGTGGTAATACTTACCTAGTTTCCTAATGATACTTTGAAGGTGGTATGTAAATACTTTAGACTTTGCCTTTGATTGCTTTTGCTGCTATTTAAGGTTGAAATTTATTTCCTTTAAAGTAGAACATAAGACTAGGTGTAATTGTCTGGAAATACGGGCTCTGATATATAGCCCATCTGTGTTATTTATGTTGTTCTGGCCTGGGTAGCTGCTATTCTTAGATCTGGGGGTAGGAGTGTAAGAAGAAAACTGTGTTAGAATTTATTTCACTTGCCTTGAGAGTCAGAGAAGGTCACACTGGCTTAGGGTGCATGCTTTGCAATGTAAGGTTAAAGCAGTGTCTGGTTGTGCTTAGGGAACCCAAAGAAATTGTTTGGAGCCATGTTGTCTCCAGCTCCGGCATTTGCCAGCTGTCTGTGCTCCGGGGCACAGTGGGTAGTGCTGGAACATCTCTAGGTGCTGTTGCTAAGCATGGTGTGTTTTTGCTCACTCACGCTCACACCCTCACTGTGCTCATTATTTTTTCCCACAGGATGCCGGAGGTCAGCAGATTGGCTTCTTGCTAGGAAGCTGTGGGATTGCCTTAGCTCTCACCAGTGAAATTTGTCTGAAGGGCCTGCCAAAAACCCAGAATGGAGAAATTGTACAGTTCAAAGGTGAATACTATTCAGACCCAGGTTACCGATTGAAAGTCAAACCTGAGTGCTTCAGGCTTTTATTTTTGCTTTTGCTTTTGTTTTGCTTTTTTCAAGGCAGGATTTCTCTGTGTAGCTCAAGCTGTCCTCAAATTCACAGAGATCCACCTTCCTCTGCCTCCTGAGTCCTGGCTAGTTAGAATTTTAATAGAGTAACAGCTAAGGGCTTCACGTGTATTTGTTTGTTTTTAATTCTTACTTACTTGAGATAGGTACAGTAATTATGCCCATTTTTCAGGTAGGAAATTGTGAAACAGAATCCCCAACCCCAGCTAATAAATGACAGAGCAGTGATTTGAACCCAGTCTGTCTGATTCTGTTGCCACACTCTTAACCTTTGTGCTACTGGCTGGAAAGGCCTAGCCACCCCTGTGTACATTAAAGCAGGGGGACAGTGGAGGTACCACAGGCTTCCACCGATAAATGAATCTCTCTGTTGTTGAGGACCATCAAGGCGGCCTGTTTTTATCATGTGGAATGAATATTCTTTTGAAAGAATCTATAATAAAAATTAGGTATTTTATTGATGATGAAATAATCTTAATATGTTCTCTTGACATTTAAGGTGTCTAGTTCAGTGTGAAGTCCTTCAGTGGTGGCTTAGGCAACTCGATTTTCACTCTGGGTTTGATTTAGGTTGGCCTCGGCTCAAGTGGGTTGTAACAGATTCCAAGTACCTTTCAAAGCCTCCCAAAGACTGGCAGCCCCACATCTCACCTGCTGGTACGGAACCAGCGTATATCGAGGTAAGTCTGGAGGCTTCTGTGTGTTTCCTGGCTTTCCTTTAGCTTCAGGTGCATGTTAACGAATGCTAAGAAAGAAGTTTCCATTTTGTAGCCTTGTAAATGCCCTGTAGTGGACCTTCTGTTACCGTTAACTTGAGGCAGAGTTGGAGTTTATTAAAAGAGATTGTTTGTTTGTTTGTTTGTTTGTTTGTTTGTCGAGACAGGGTTTCTCTGTGGCTTTGGAGGCTGTCCTGGAACTAGCTCTTGTAGACCAGGCTGGTCTCGAACTCACAGAGATCCAACTGCCTCTGCCTCCCGAGTGCTGGGATTAAAGGCATGCGCCACCACCGCCCAGCTTTTTAAAAGAGATTTTAATGTAGACTTGAAGCATAAGAGTTAAGAGGAAAAGAGGTACCCAGGAAGAAAGTTAAGACACAACCAAGAGTGTTGACATTGTGTGTCCCCTGTGCTGGTTTTTGTCATTCTAACCTCTCAGTCTGGAGGACACTGGGCCTTCTGGAAAGGAGCCTGCAGAAGTCTTGGGAGAAGCACTGGTGTAAGAGAGGTGGCTGACTGGCACAGCACTGTGCTGCTGTTCTCAGAGTCGGGCAAAACAGTGGAGGATTGAGGGAAAGCAATGAGTTCAACAGACAGAAAGTTTTAAAAAACAAATAACTGAAGGGCTTGAAGGTTAGTGTGGGACCATGACTGGCTGACAACAGCACTCAGACCGAATCTGTTTGCACAGCCCTCAGGGCTGAAGACTTGAAATTCATTTCTTCATTAATTGGAGTAAAAACCCAGAAAGATTTCAACTTCCTTGTTAAATTTATTTTTTGTTTATTTTCCTCATTTTTATATTGTTATTTGTGATTTATTTTTATTATAAAGTTAGCCTTGTCAGTTCTGTGCAGTATATTTGATTCATATTCATCATTGCCCCTGACTTCCCAGATGTACCCCTTTTCCTACCCACCCAAATTTGTGTCTTTTTTTAAACTCAAAAAGTACCTCCATATAGTCTTCGATGTGTGGCCCTTCCACTGGAATGTGGCCAACCTTCTCTCCCTTTTAAGCACCATCAGTTGCCAGTAGCTCCTCAGCTGGTGGTGGGGCTTGATGCCCACCTTGCCTCTCCATGCTGCGATTTTGTCTGGCTTGAGCTTGAGCAGTTCTTGTTCATGCTGTCACAACTGCTGTGAGCTCATATGGGCAGCTGCCCTGCTGTGTTCAGAAAACACTCTCCGCATCACCATCCACTAGCCCTGATTCTCACTGTCTTTCTGCCCCACCTCCTTCTGCAGTGGAGTCTTGGGAGGAGAGGTGTGATAGAGAGGTGCCATTTAGGTTAAGTACTCTGCATCTTCCATTCTTTGCCCCTGGACCAGTTGTCTGTCTCGGTTAATCACCATGTACTACGATAGGAGGCTTCTCTGATGAGGGTTGTACTGATCTGTGAGTGTAGCAGTAAGTTATTAGGTTTCAACTCATGAACCTGCTCGATGGAGGCAGGGAGATACTCGATGGTAGGAGAGAACTGATCTCCACAAGTTCCTCTAATCTCACATGTGTATCATGACATAGGTGTCCTTCCAGTAAATAAATAGTGTTGTTGTTGTTTTTTTTTTTTTAATCTGCTCTATGGACAAGGAGACTGAACTTCCAACTTTGGCAACTGTCAAAAGGTCAAGTGACTGAAATCCTGTAACTGACACTGTGCCCTTCATCTCTGTGGCATCTTAAGACTTTCTCACCAGCTATTTGCCAAATTGATTAGTACACACATCCATGAAACTTTTTAACTTTTTTTTTCCCTTGGGTTTTTCAAGATGGGGTTTCTCTGTGTAGCTTTGGAGCCTGTCCTGGAACTAGCTCTTGTAGAGCAGGCTGGCTTCAAACTCACAGAGATCCACCTGCCTCTGCCTCCCGAGTGCTGGGATTAAAGGCATGTGCCACCACTGTTCGGCCTGAAATCTTTTGTAATAACAAGTATAGGTAAAACTTGAAATGACCTTGGCCACAAAAGAAGAGGGCAGACGTACTATTGACTGCAGAGAGAGTAGTTTTTAAGGAGAAATCGGAGGATGTCTAAAAGACAGTCTAGTAAACAAAAGCCCGTTCAGTGATGAGGCTGCTCTCGCCTGACTCTCTGGGCAGATGTGTTGTATCACTCTCCTCCTGGTAACTGGAGCTGCTGCTGAGTTTGGCCCTTTACCATGCAGTCCTCCTTAGCCCCTGGCCTCAGGCCCTGCTACTTTAGATCCACTTGTTTGAGAGCCTGATACCACTCTCAGGATTCTGCTACTGAGTTGGAAACTAGTAAAGGGTTGGCAATAGGAGGGAAATAAGGATGACTTTATTATATAAAAAACATTTATCTAGGGACAGCTGAATAGCTCAGCAGGTAAGCACTTGCCACTCTAGCTTGATAAGTTTGACCACAAAACTCACATAAAGGTGGGAGGAGAGAACCAGCTCCACCAACCTCCTATGCTGTGGCATGTATGTGTACTTCCCCCACACCAAATACACAAACAGATTTATCTAGATTGGCTGAGTTCTAAATGGAGTGCTGGCTTTGGGTGTTTTTTTTTCCTCTAAATTTTATGTGTATGAATGTTTCACCCGAGTGTCCATGTATGGATCATATGTACACAGTTCCCACAGAGGCCACAAGACAGCATTAGATCCCCTAGAACTGAAGTCTAGACAGTTGTGAACTGCCATGTGGGTGCTGGGAACCAAACTAGGTCCTCTGTAAGATCAGCCAAGTGCTCTTAACTTACGAGCCATCTCTCCAGCCCTGACCTGCTTTTTTTTTTTTTTTTAAGCTTTTGAACTGGAGAGAAGGCTCAGTGGTTAAGATCACTAGCTGCTCTTCCAGAGGACCAGAGTTCAATTCCCAGCATTCACATGACAGCTCACAACTGTCTGTAACCCCAGTTCTACACAAATATACATGCAGGCAAAACACCAATGCACAGCTGGGCATTGGTGGCACACGCCTTTAATCCCAGTACTCAGAAGGCAGAGGCAGGCGATCTCTGTGAGTTTGAGGCCATCCTGGTCTACAGAATGAGTTCCAGGACAACCTCCAAAGCAATACAGGGAAACCCTGTCTTGAAAACAAACAAACAAACAAACAAACAAAAACAATGCACATCAAATAAAAATAAATCTTTCCTGGTAAAGGAAAGCAGATTCCTGATCTACCTAGTGAGTTCCAGGACATCCAGAAAGAAAGAACATACAACGTTCTCATGGGTAGAGGTGGGGATTGGATGGAGTGTTGGTAGTATGCTTTCCCAGGACAAGAGGTGCTCTGGCAGAATGCTGGAGTCTGGGTCTCTGAAGGAGAAGCTGGGTGGACAGAGTCAAGCACAGATGCAATACCCTGATGGCATAAGAGTAGGCAGGAGGGGGGAATTCTCAGGAGTGCCACATTTAAGGCATAGTTAGAGATGATTCTGGGTAAGATAGCTCATGAGAGTCAGAGGCAGGAGTATTGCCACAAATTCCAAGCAAGCCTAGGCTACATTGTGAGACCTTGTCTCGGAGAGGGAGATAAAAACAACTCATAGATGGTCAGAGCAGTGAGAGCGAGAAACCAGAAGACACAAACAAAAGCCAAGGACATCAGATGGCAAAGATCTGTTGTTGTGTAAATTGTGTAAAATGATGTGTTTGACATTAGAAAGGAAGGCTACAGTGAGTGAATAGGGCCCATATCTCTTTGGTGTTAGTATTTCTGTGGTACTAGGGGATCAAAGCCAGTGTCTCACACAGTTAGACGAGTGTTCCACCATTGAACAGCTACTGAGAAATGGCTGTATTTGGCATTATGCTTCTGTCTATACAGCTCAGATCACTTGGTTTTAGTTTTTTTTGGTGACCAGGTCACATTGATGAGTGACTAAACTTTGAAGTCATTTTGCACATGCTCCAGTCGGCTTCATTGTCCTCCAGTCTTGGCTCTGTTTATTTGGAGTTGGGGTCCAAGTGCAGAGCCATAAATGTTCCTGTTCAACATGTAAAATTAAGCCCATTGTGTTGTTTATCTGGGTTTAGGTTTGGGCTCTGAATTTTGTCATTTATAATAACCCATCGTATTGTGCTTCTTATAGTTTTGTTTTTGTTTTATTTTTCTAGTATAAAACAAGCAAAGAAGGGAGTGTAATGGGAGTTACAGTATCCCGGCTTGCAATGCTGTCTCACTGCCAAGCTCTGTCACAGGCCTGCAATTATTCTGAAGGTCAGACCTCATCCCGTGACTGCCCTCATTGTCAGCTTCAGATACGTGTGGCTGTGTGCTCCCACTTGGTGACTGGACTCCATTCAATGACCAAATTCAGAGGGAAATGTTCCAGGACACATTCTTGGCTTGCTTCTGCCTTCTTTAAAAAAAGAAAATCTGCAATTTAAATAAATTCTGGACAAACCAGATATATAAAGTATGATTTCTAGAGTACAGAAGTAGAAAACCTCAATTAAAACCATGTGTTTGTAAGCTGTGGGGTCTTTGGTGTCTCTGTCTTCTCATGTAGAACATGCAACTAAGTATTTACAGTCCAAAAAATGCTGCTCCAAAGGTGCAGATTAAAACAGAAACATGCTAAACCAGATGTGGCCACAGCTGTAGTCCTAACACATGCAGGAGCAGTGTCATTCCAAGGCCATCCTGGGATACGTAGTAAGTTTTAGGCCAGCCTATGCTGCAGTATGAGATGAGACCTTCTCTCAAAAAATCCAAAAAAGTGTAAACCTTCTGGCATATAAATGTATATTGCATAATAACAGTTCAAGCCCCTTTGTGCCAACATCACAGGCACACAGGCTCCAGATGTGGCTTTGGGTGTTCTTCCAGATGTTCTTTTTTTTTTTTTTTTTTGAGACAGGGTTTCTCTGTGGCTTTGGAGGCTGTCCTGGAACTAGCTCTTGTAGACCAAGCTGGTCTCCAACTCACAGAGATCAGCCTGCCTCTGCCTCCCAAGTGCTGGGATTAAAGGCGTGTGCCACCACCACCCAGCTCAGATTTTTTTTTTAACATTACTTTTTCAGTGTTTCATTTCCCTTTACAGACTGAAAGGTGACTGTGCATTTCAGAGCAGCATTTTTCTCTGATTTTAAAATATGTGCATATACATGTATGAGAACAATCATAATGCCACAAACAGTGTCCAGTGGGCTTATTCAAAGGTTCTGCCCTGGGGCACTGGAACTTTAGCTCCTGAATATTAGAAATGTGGAGAAATCTGTCATTGAGTGAAAACAATTAGATGCAGGCTTATGTATACCTGTTTTATTTTGTGGATAATCTAGTTGTAGATATACCTAGAAATGGGCATCTGTATACATAGGATTTTATATAGAACACTATTTCATGTTTTTCAAAGAAGTATAATATTTACATATATTTGTGAAAATTCCAGAGTTTCTAAAACAAACACATGTTCCTTATTTTGCTAGGAAAAAATCTTGAGTGATGCCCCTAAATGCTGAAGGCCGTAGTGTCTTTGCAGTGACCACATCTCCCTGTCACCTTCTCCAGCCAGTTTGTAGGGGACTGAGCAATGGGAGAGTCTGATCTCCCAGTTGTTTTTCTAAAAGCACCAAATGCATGGTGGGGACATGAATGTGATTGTCATTTCCTGCTCAACATTACCTCCTTTTGTTTCTCTCTATCCATTCATTTCTAGGAGAAGCCGTGGCTAATGTTTTAGACTTTAAGAAGGATGCTGGGCTGTGGCATGGCATGTTTGCGGTAAGCTGTCAGAGTTGGGGCCTTTATAGTAAAATGTACCTGAGGCCGAGGCTCTGTGACAAGTGAAGTTTGTGCCAGATAGGACCCCCCACCTCTCTCTCAGTTTGTGCCAGATAGGACCCTCTCTGTGTCTGTTTCTCTCTCTCTCTCTCTCTCTCTCTCTCTCTCTCTCTCTCTCTCTCTCTCTCTCTCTCTCTCTCTCTCTCTCTCTCTCTCTCTCTCTCTCTCTCTCTCTCTCTCTCTCTCTCTCTCTCTCTCTCTCTCTCTCTCTCTCACACACACACACACCATCCAACAGAATCCTTGATTCTGCCTGACCCTCAATTCTCTCAGCTTTATCTTTACAAACACTTAGCCTGTAAAGAACTAGGAAGCTAATCTTTTGCTCTGTAGTGCTGTCCCATTTTCATTCCCTTCCCTTTATCCTGTAGTATGTGGCAAGCAGGAGCGTCATGGAGCACTAAGTCAATTGGGGAACCATTTAGTAGTACCCGAGAACTCTCTAAAAGCAGGGATGTTGTGACTTAGCAGGGCTTCTCTTCTGTGTCTACCTTAAAGAAACAGTTGTGTAGTGAATGTGAGTGCAAATGCATTGCTTCCACACTGATTGTAACATGTGCAGCCGTACAAAGGGAGCGGGTAGCCCTCTGGTTCTAACATGCATAGATTTATCTGCGAAACAATGCAAGTGAAAAGCAGCAAGTGGCAGATACATGTATACTATCATGTCTTTCATTTATATCCCTGGTGTTCCTAAAGTCACATATATATGTCCATGCATGGGACTGGGGGACAGGTGGCCTCACTGTGATGCCCTGAGAGAGAAAGGAGAGCACCAGGGAGGTGCTTCTGCATTCATGCTAGCACCTCAAGTATTTATTTTGAAAGGGTGAACTTGAGTAATACCTCTGTAACATTGTTAGTCAAATATCAATACAGCTTCAAGGTGCTAAATACATGTTTTGTATTGACTGCTTTCTATGTTTCTCTGCTTTCAGAATGTAATGAATAAGATGCATACAATTAGTGTACCCTACTCTGTTATGAAGACCTGTCCTCTCTCTTGGGTCCAAAGGGTCCATGCCCACAAAGGTAATCACACACATCCACATGTTAATTATGAGACTTGTGGAAGCATGCTCTTATAGAGAAACAGTTCTTTGCCTTGGTGGCTTATCTAATTTTGGAGTGATTGTTTAGGTAAGCTGTTTGCCTTATCTTACTGTGTTCTTTCTTACAAATTGAATTCTCTGGAATTTGAGCCATAGTTAGCTCTATTGAATGCTGTGTTGTCAGATTATCCTTGACTGTGACCTGTCAGTGGCTGAATATGATGCTTGCTTTCCCCAAGTGAGAACTATTGCTAAATAAGTAAAAATGTTCTTGTGGTAATATATTAAATTTATGCCCAAATTAAGCATGTGTGTATGTCATAACTCTTTCCCCTTTGCATTTGTAGCCAAAGTAGCTCTTGTGAAGTGTCGAGATTTACACTGGGCCATGATGGCACATCGGGACCAAAGGGACGTGAGCCTGAGTTCTCTCCGGATGCTGATTGTCACTGATGGTGCCAATCCTTGTGAGTACTGGGTGTAGAAATCCCAGAACATGTGACAGGCAGGGTGTTTTGCTCCTTTTCTATGAGCTTTTCTGTTTTCAATATCCATACTGAAATGTCATTTACAAGTGATGACACTTGTCTGTTTCAAGGGTCCAAGTCAGTGTTGTGGTGTGTTTGTAGGTGTGTACCTATCATCACACCTGAAGCTTCGAACACTTCTGTTAACCTAAGAGGAACCACACTCTCGCTGTTTGTCACTCTTCATCCTCTGCAGTGCCCCTCAGCCCCAGACAGCCATGACTTTCCTTCCTCTAAGGACAAAAAAGATTTCAAAAATGTATGTGCATGTTTGTGTCTCTCTGTGTGTGTGTGTGTGTGTGTGTGTGTGTGTGT